AAGTGTGTGTGTGTTGTGTGTGTGTGTGTATATACAGGGTATTATATAAAATCTTGTAGTTATTTGTAATTTATTTTTGTAGTTCTTTGCTATTGCACGGAATTATATTGATCCTATAAGGATTGTAAAAGAGAAAATTATACAAGACATGAGTATCCAGCGATTCACAGGAAAAGCTGCGCTTCTCATAGAAAGTAAAGGAGAAAACTTGATACCATATTTACAATCACTAGATTTGTACCATATCGCTCTGTTCTGGAAACAATGTGAACATTTAATGACACAAAAAATTGATGAAACACCGAAGCAGAATTCTACCTCTGCTAAATCTGCTACAACAGAGTCTATACCAATAGAACAGAATCAAAATCAATGTATAACTATTTGGGGACATCGATGTCAATTATGTTTTCCCAAATTATGTTGTGTCCACTGCAATACACATTATAAACAGTTCAATTATTACACGGATAATTATAAGTACATATATGACTGTACTAAATGCGGAATGAATCATATTCGATCCCGTTGTTCAGCATACGGGGAACTGTGTATAAAATGCGGCAAGAAGAATCATTTCTCGAAGATGTGTCGAGTTCCTGTTATAATAAATTGCTCTAAATGTGGTATGAACCATGCAAAATCAAAATGTCCAGCCTATGGTCACATATGTCGTCATTGTAATAAACTGAATCATTTGGAAGAAAAATGCCGATTAGCTAAGTGTATTTAAACAGATACAAAGCGTCATCTATTGACAAATTTTGTCAAGAAAAAAATTATAAAATTAATACAAAATTTGTTATATCTATTATATGTATAAATTATATCGACAAATGTCACAAAAAATATAACAGATTTGTTTACATGATTTGACAGCAGATTAATGGTAAAAATGGGGAATGTATGATTTTCAAATTGTGCATTTATGATTTTATCTATATATTTTCAAACATTTGTTAAGATTCCTGAGTAACTGCAATGGCCATACTGAATTGTAACATCATAAGCGAGAAATAACACATTAATATTTATTATATGCTAATTCTAAATAAAAACAATTTGGATAAAACGAAATGATAAGATCGTTTTAAAACGCCTAAAAATGAGTCAAAGTATTGACGAGATACTAAAGACGAGCGGCACTTATGGAAATTCGCATGCCTGTTAAAATTTAAGTGATTAATGCCCGTTTCCACCAATGTAGATTAATTTTAATCTCAGCTCAACCACAGTATAACCAGTAGGGACACTCCGTGTCGACACCTTTGATCTCCGTGTTGCAGTCACATGAGCATCCACCATGTTAACGTTTGAAAAATCCGAAAGAGGATATAATGCCCCATGTGATAATCCATTGCTTTGCTCTAAAAAACATAATTAAGGATTGCCGTGTAAACGTAGTCAATGTAAAAATATTATCTTTTTTATAAAATTACATTTGATTATGTTAAATTAAGTTAACTTAGCATAAACTATTTACTTTTTGTAAATTATAAAAACTTACTTTATGATATCTTTGGGATAACGAAAAAAAATGCATTATGAATTTTTACTATTATTACTGCATTGTTTAATATTGTATGTAACGTTTCTTTTTTTTTATCCATTTTTTAGAAATATTTATGGCGCAGTTCTTAAATTGTCTTCTTTTGTCACGGATATCTACTCACACGGGATCTGTGTAATATGTACATTCTTGTCATCTTGCATTTCAATGGATCCGACTCAAAACAAAAGCTGCGCAGCCATATTCGCGAACACGCATTTTTTTCGCTGAGTGTCTCTACTGGTTA